GCCAGTGGCTCCTAAGTATTTGGGTCTCTGGGCCCATCCTTGGAGTCAGGGAAGAGTCCGGAAACTGCATACTTTTAAAATACTTTTATCAGCAAAGCATATACTGCCTTTATTGTTGCTTCTGTTGCTTAGGTTTCAACTGTACTCTTTCTTTGATTATAAAGTAGTACCTATTCACTATAAAAAAAAATCTAGACAGAATGCAGATATGTAAAAATAATAACTGCTATCATTTACAGATCTATAATAGCTCATGAGAGATCGCAGGCTGGGCACCTTAGACCCATTGTTCATTTGATCCTCAAAACAACCCAACAATGGCGAAGCTCAGACCCAAAGAGTTTGTCGTTTGCCTAAGGCCACACGGGGACCAATTTAACAATTTAGCAAGACTTTCTGACTCCAAAGGGCACCCTCTGACCACTGTCTGTATCATGTTGCCATTGAGAAAAAAAATTACTCAAGAATTCCACCCGTCCAAAGGAACCACAGTTGACACCTAGACATATTTCCACCCAGCTTCCTTTTCTCCATTTTTCTCAGTACAGTTGAGTTCATGTTATTAAATCTTTTATATTCTTTGTTATACGAAGGATTTAAAATGTTTTCATGCTAATATACAACTTTCTGTTTATTTCACACTTATATTATTATCAATGTATAGTCCCATGATTAAAATTATAAACAATCTTAATGTCTTGTTATTAATGTTCCACCATATAGTTACAAAGAATATTAAAAAAAACAAAACAAAACAAAATAACCAATGAACCAAAAAATCCCCCAGTATCTGGAGAAGAAAGCAATTCTATTAAATATCATTTTGCTTGTTACCTATCCCCAAGTGGCCTCCAAGACAACTCGAGGCCACAGTCATGATGGAGGCAGGAGTACCTGCCAGGGGCTTCAGGAGGCCCAATCATCTCAAAGCTGAAGGCAAAACGAGCCACAGGAGTGAGGTCTAAAGCACCTGATTCCCACTCTGACTCAGATCCTACAGATGAGAGAATGAACCAAGGCTGGGAGCTCCCACTAGGCCACTCCCACGAGCTGGGGCAGAAGAGGGGCAGTTTCTCAGAGGAAGAGAATGATATTCACTGCCCATTTTCCACTGTATGAAAGAACCCCATGTAAGCACTTTATTTATACACATTATCCCATGTCACCCTTGCAATAGCCTTAGGTGGTAGCTGTTTATTATCGCTGTTTCACAGATGATGGCACAGGCAGAGATATTAAATGACTTGCCTGGGGCCACACAGTAAGTGACAGAGTGAGGGTTCCACCTCAGGTCAGAATGAATCCACAAACGGCCCTCCTGTGGGTTTGCCGATACCTGTGCAGGCAGAAAACTCTCAGGCCAAACATTTCATTTAAAATGTTCCCGGGTTAGCAGGAAATGCAAATCCTCTTTGTAGGAAAGCAACTTCAAACCAGGTCTCAAAGAATCCCCGAGATAAAGTTCCAAGGAAAATAAATAATGTCATAGTTTCTAAAAAAACATCACAAAATATGAGGAAACAAGGCAATATGAGCCAGAACCAGCAAAAACAGCAGGCAGAAAAATCAGACTTACAAAGATTTCAGATATGGGCTTTCTCAGCCACAGGTTATGAAATATTGAGTTTAAGAAAGAAGAGAGCCTTAAAAATATGAACAGGAAAAAAAGAGATTATAAAGAATGACTAAGCAGAAATTTTAAAAACCACACATTACTTGTAGAAATGCAAAATATACTAACTGAAATTTGGATGGTAAGCATAAGGTGGGAAAACTTGCGCTACAATTATCGACACTATTACAAAGCTATAGTAAGTATAGTACTGGAATAGGGACAGACATATGGGCCAATAGAATGGAATAGGGAGACCAGAAACAGAGCCAGGCATATACAGAAACATACTTAAAGTAAGAAGGAACATTGCAGATGGAGTGTGTGTGTATAAGACAGATGTGAAATAATAATATATATATTGATCTCTGCCCCCGGTTCCTGCTAATATCTGGTCTTTGACCCAGTTCCTGACACAGAGCTCCTAAAACTCTTGTAATTTCCTAAGTGATAGGAATGTCTGATACTGAACTCCTAAAGCCCTTGGAATTTCCTGGGTGACACAAGCATCTTTTGTTTTAATGAGAAGACTCTTGGTGGGATCCTGGCTGAGGGCTGATCACCAGGAAAACCAAGCGTGATAAGCTTTGAACTTTCAGCCTTGCCTCCCATTCTCTGGAGAGGGGAGAGGGGCTGTAAATCGAGTTAATAATTGATCATGCCTATGTGATGAAGCCTCCACAAAAACCCCCCAAGTATGGGATTTGGCGAGTTTCCAGGTTTGTGAGCACATCCACGTGCCAGGAGGGTGGTACACCCCAAGCCCTGTGCTTGAGACACTTCCAGACCTTACTCTATGTATCGCTTCATCTGGCTGTTCATTTATATCCTTTAAAATATCCTTTGTATTAAATCAGCAATAGTAAGTAAACTGTTCTCTTGGTTTCTGTGAGCTGCGCTAGCGAATTATCCAGTCCAAGGAGGGGGTCATGGGAACCTCTAATTTGTAGCTAAGTTGAACAGAAGTTGTGAGGAACCTAAGGACCCACTATTTGCAATTGGTGTTTGAAGTGGGAGGCAGTCTTGTGGGACCGAGCCCTTAACCTCTCAGGTCTGTGCTAACTCTGGGTAGGGTCAGAATTGAATAGAATTGTAGGATACTAGCTGGTGTCCACAGAGAATTCGAGAATTGCCTGGTGTGGGAGAAACATCCACACAACTGGCATCAGAAGTATTCTGTGTAAGCAGCAGAGGAACACGGAAAATTTTTCTTTACAATGGACTACTGATAAATGGTGTTGGGACTATAGGTTCTCCATCTAGGAACACATGAAACAGGACTCCTACCTCATGTCAGCCACGAAAATCAAAACCAGATCAATCAAAGGTTTAAGTGTGAAAGACAGAAAGAAAGCGCTGGAGAAACAGGAGATTAGTTTTGTCCATGTATTTTTTTGGGTGGCAATTTAGCCCAGAGGTGTTTCTGCCTGGATCCAGGAAGTAACTCTGCTTCACGATTGCTCCCTCTTTCTCGTTGGTCCTTTAGCGTGGATGGCTCCCCAACGAGCTTGGATCCAGGAGGATTCACAGTCATTGTGCAGTGCCGCTCTCAGGGTCCTCTGGGTATGCAGCTTCTGCCCTTCTACTCACTGACCCCAGCATCAGGGCTTTTTAACTTCTTGAGCTGATTTCTGTGGCTTTCCTGTCTCCTTCCTCTTTGCCAGAGGTCACTTCTTACTGGCATCTGTCTATCTGCCGCCGCAACGGGTAGAGGTCAGGTTCAGCTAATGGGCCACTCCTAATCTGCTGAGTTTAGAAAGCTTGTCAGCACTATTGAAATAAAGAACATCCAGTTCCAAGAAAGAGGCTTCCTAAAGAAGAAAGAGACTAGGCTTCCAGACATTTGTTGTTCCTGCTCAGATCCCCACCCCCCAACCCCCCTCCCCTTTAAAGGTCACGTTTTGGTTCTGTTCCTGCCAGACAACTGAGATTCCTGGACTGATGACCCCAGGACACCTGAAGTGTAACTATGTATGCATGCATCTCACTCTCTCTTTAAAATAAACATAGCCCCGCAGTGTCACCTTTCAAAATCATCACCTCAGGAGGCCATGGGTACCTGAGGGATGCTTTGCTGGAACACCTCCCTTCAGAGTCCCCTCCCCCACATAAACAACAGCACACTTTCCTGTCACAGATACACTTCTCACCCACGGTTGGATACAATGTGAGTGAGCCTCTCCAAGTATTCACAGCATCTGCAGTCACCCAGAATACAATGGTTTAAAAACTCCTCACCCTGCATGCTGGTCCTTTCAGGCTGAAAATCTTAGAATGAGGTGGTGATGGAGGGAAGGGGGAGGGTTGATATTAAGAAAAGAGCAACAGAAGCCCAGCCATGCCGTCTCAGCCAACACTGCACCTTGGAGCCAGCAGGGGGCAGCTGCAGCACCTCTGGGCCAGGTGCTGGCTCCCTTCATCAGTGAGTTAAATACAGCATAAACATACCCAGGAAAATTCTCCAGGCCCAAAGCAACATGTATAAGAGACTTGCTAAAACGTCTGGACCCCTACACACGGATGCTTACAATCTTCGGCACAGGTAAAAACACAGAAAAGTAAACTTTTAATCCAAACATAAAAGCAAATTGACGAGGAACATTTTAAATTACATTTACTTTAAAAATAAACGAGGTCTGGGCCGGACGAGTGGTGCATTGGTTGGGAGCTGGCTTGGGACACAAGAGGGCCCCGGTTCGGATCCCACATATGAGAGCCAGTGACACTGCCCTCTACAGCTAGGATGCTGAACAACAGCTCAACTTGGAGCTGGGCTACCCTGGGTTGCAGGCGTAGGCTGCAGCCCCTGTTGTAGTAGGTTGCCATGGGCTACCGTGTGTAGCCAGCAGCCAGCGTGAGCGGGCGGCAGCCGCAGTGAGTGGGCTGTCCAGAAGCGTGCGACTGATCTGCCTTGCCCGGGAAGAGCGCAATGATGGAGCCAACTTGGGCCAGTGAAGCAACATCCTCCACAACTAGACTGAAGAACAAAACGACAACAACTTGTCTGTTCCCCTTCCCCAATTTCCCAGCGCTGTTCCCATCC